TGTTGTTTAGTTGAACTTGTTTGTTGTTGTTGTTTGATTGAACTTGTTTGTTGTTGGTTATTATTGTTTGTTGTTACTACACTACACGTTCATAGTTCATGTTTTATAAAATACCAAAAACTGAAATTTGTTGTTTTTTGTTTGTAGAGTTGTAAAAAAGGACCACAATTAATTAAAAAAACAAAAAAAATTGATTAACGTCGAATATTGACAAAATTCGACGTTAAATAAACGTTCAATTTTTTAAATTCGACGTAAATTTAACTTCTCCTGATATGACGTCGTTTGCGAATTCGTCGTTAAAAATCCAAAATATGCGTCGTTGTACGTGATTTTTGTACTAATAGTTGCTTGTTATTGTATTTTTATTATAAACATGCGTTAATTATATAAAAAAATTAAAAAAAATGAATAATTTGAATAAGAGCAAACTCACATGTCAACTTGATTACTGTTTTTTTAAAGAGTTCTACATGTAAAACTCTCACATTATCATTTCAATATTTTGTGTCTTCTCTCTTTAAAACATTTAAATATTAGCATTCCCCTTTTTAGAAAAACATCTTCTTATTTATACTTTACATTAAATCATATATTTAAAATGAGTATTTATAGAAAGTAAAGATAATTTTGTTTCAAATTATTACTTTTATTTTAAAATCTTTCTTAGTCAAATTTGTTTTATATTTGAGAAACACATTCTTTTTGAAAAATTAAAAATGTTATTGTTTTTGTTACAACTTTTAAATTGGTTGGGGGCTTTTTATTTTTAAATTTGCAATCTTTTCTTGTGCACAAACACCACTGTCTAAAAAATATAGCAAAAATATGTTTGTGAAATAGATATTTTGAATTTACTTTTAATTTATTTGTCTCTGGAGAAATTAGATACATCATCATCTAATACATCATTTTTTGGTTGGTGTATTATTTGATGCACTAATATGGTATCATTTAAAACAATTAATTTATTCCTAGAATATGGTTTAATGAGAATATTTGCTTAAAATCCTAAGAGAGTTATTAAAAATCTTGTCATTCACTTGACCAATTTCATGTGTTTGTTCTATAGCGTAAGGCAAGATTATATTTGAAGTTCAATGAAAAAATATATTAAGATTGTTGTAGATATTTGAAGTTCAATGAAGCTACTTTAGTTATTTGAAGGGATTAAATACACATTCAATTATAAGGATTTCATAAAGTGGTCAGTTAAAACAAAGTCAAAATTTATAATTAAGAAAATTAAATAAAAAAGAAACTTTAGAATTTTAGTAACAATTTATTTTCAAGAAAATATTCTCTTTTTATTTAAATTTAAATGTGAATGTTTGTACTCACCTTAATTATAATCTCATGTGTGTTTGTCTGTACCTGTGTTTGAATTTGGCTGGGAACAAAAATGAGTTATTTTTATTTTTGCTGTGTTTTTATTTATTTTTGCACCAGACTTGGTTTTCTTTTGGGCTAGGCTACGAAGCCCATTAACCAAAGAAGGTAGAAGGATTCAGAAGTTCATTTCTCTTTTCTTCAACCCGTTTCCTCTCTTCTCCTTTCTCTTTTCTTCTCTGCGTTCCCAAACCCTTGGGCAAAGGGGGATTTTTAATGCGTGAGAGAGAGCGGCGTGACGAAGAATCCAATGCTTAGAGGGTTAACGGACAAGAACGAAATTAAGAGAGCGAGGATCAGTTATAAGGAGTAAAGGAGAAGAAGAATCCGTAGTTGGGGGTTTAATTTCTAGGGTTCGAGAATTCAATTTGGGATGATGGAGAGAGCCTATAAATAGGACGAGCAACAGAGGGTTAGGGACACACTGACAAAGCATTCTAGAAAATTAAGAGTGAGGGTTCGAGTTGAGTGAGAGACGTGCGGAAATTTGGAGATTGGAAGAAGTGTTGATTTTTCCCGGTATGAGGAGCTACCCTTGCTTGCTTTTAATTGTGGTTTTGGTCTGAATGCGTGGTGAATGATGTTCTGCGGTGCGAATGATTTGTACAATATTCTGATTTTGCTCGTGTCTGATGGGTATGAATTGCTATTATGAATAGCTGCTGAGATAATTTAGAATCAGTAAACATCTGTGTTTGGGTGCAATTAGTTAGGCTTTTTTAAGTCACTTCTTCGTTTCTACACGTGATATATTATATGAGTTGTGTGATGGAGAGTTCTGGAAATTTTTGGTTATTAAGAAATTGCGGTTTGAATGGTTGTTTTAGTTTAAGTTAAAGTTTTTGGTGCATTGTTGTTTCGGGTTGTTAAATTGAGTTTCCTTTGGGTTTTTAAACATGTTGAAATTCTAGGCTGATGAGTTTATATGATGTATGTGTTTTGGTAACCATTATAATGTTTAAAACTCTGGCAACTTTCTGAGTAGAAAAAAGTTTAATAATGTGTGGCTACTGAAATTAGATGCATATTGGAAGATGAAATATTTGGGTCTGGATGCCTTTTTTATGGAAAAGGTTCAGTAATATAGATTGGTTATTATGACGTTAAGTTGCTGGAATTTATAAAAACTGTTTTTCTTTGAATTCACAGATTGGAAAACTACATGGTGTGGTGTTAATTCTTGATTAGGAAGTTTTGTTAGGCTTTAAAATTGTTGAACGTGCAGTGATGTTTTAGTGATTATCATATATGCTTTTTGGTTCAATTTAAATAGTCAGAGCAATTTTTAAGTTTATGAAAATCCAGCCAGAAAAGAATTGACGTAAGTTACATTTTTAAAACTAAGATAGTTCAATGTTATTTTAATGTTAATTTGGTTGATGGGTGAATGAATGTGGTAAGCTTGGAGATAATTGCATATGTATATTTAAGTGTTATATGTATGTGAATATATGCTCCCGAATTGAAGTGTATAATTGCTAGAAATGGCATGTTAGGGGTATATTATTGGGAGTAATGCAGGGATTGAAATTAGATGAAAATGAGATGTTGGAAAAATCTGATACATAATTTTAGGATGATATAAATGACAAAATATATAATCTTCGTTATGCTAAGATGGATTGGGAAGTTTATATTGGTTAAAGCTGAAATCTTGTAATCTCACCTTGCTTTGAAACTTAATAACATATTAAGCTTCTTTATGTCTGGAATTTGAGGTTCAGAATGTAAGGATATTAGAATATTGATTTGAATTGAATTGGGTCATATAAACTTTAATAAAGATAGAGTTAATCATGATGGGAAGGGTTTATGGAATATAGGAGTTAGAGTTGTATGTTTATATGCTGAAAGTGAGGGCTGGAATGTTTGGGTCATGGGAAAGAATTACTGCATGTTTAAGTTACTGGTATATGCATAGGAGTGCAAAGTGTGAACATTGATTCTATGATCTGGAATGGATTCTCTTTGTTTAGCATTGTAGTGATTATTTCAAGATACTTGTATGAGTTCCATAAGTTCTGACGTTCATATAAATGCTTAGAGTTTTCTAGAGATTATGTTTGAACTGGGATGTTCTGGAAATCAGAAAAGGGTATATAATTTCGTAAAATAGTGTTTGACGTGGGCACTGAGTGCATGTATATTGTTGAATAATTGATGATATTTGGGATGGTGGATTTTGCAATCATTGGATATGGTATATTGCTGTATAAATGAATTGGATGTGTTCTTGTTATGATAAATGATTATATAATGCTTGATGTGTTCAAGTAGTGGTCTAGGTTGCTAGTTTCATACCCTTAATTGTTTGGGTCTTCTTATATCATTGTGACAACGATAATTTTGTGTGACCGTAATAGTTTGTGACATGTTTGTCTGTGTGACTGGAAGTTAAGGGTATTGGACCTAAGCAATCTTAGTCTGTGTGACCTTAGACCACTAAGGGTAAGTTTTGGGTGAATGCTAATGTTTGTGACAATTTGATTATTATACTTTGGGATTATATATGCTTTGTGCTTGTTCAATTAGCTCACCCATATTTTTGTGTGCTTGTTGCGATGACTGTATGACGTGTGTGTTATACGGAAGTAGATAGGAATGCAGATGATTATGGAACTGTGTAGTTGACGAGAGAGGAGATAACATTTGGGAGCACTAAAGAATTATTAAAGTTTTAGTTGTGAAATAAATTTTATCAAATGTAATTGACTTTATTTGAACTTGAGTTATGGATATTTATGTTTTATAGTTGGTTGGAATAAATTAAGCTATCTTGAAAATTTCAATGTTGTCTTTACGAAAATTTAGATGTTGATATGTCGAAGTGACTCCTAGAGTTGGGACGTTACAATCAAACACTAACTTTTAGAAGTTGTGTGTGTGCACATGTACTTGTGTTTAACATTTAAGATTCTTAATTCATGATATCATTCTTCAGATCAATAAATGAAGCATCTTGTGAAGTTTTTGGCATCAGTAATGGCCATTATAGTGTAATGAATTTAAGTGTTTAGGATAAGCTGTCATAACTAATAACCATCATTAATGTTTTCTTTATTTAGGAATTAATACCATTCTGAATATGATGTAAACCTCTGTTTTGAATCGATTCATTTGATGTGCAGTGAATTTTGTCTTCTTGGTTTCCTTGATCTTGCGACATGAATTTTTAGTTGGTACGTCTGTACCTGATACTTCCAAGTGATGCTGGAAAATTGCGCAAGGGTTTTGAGTTGCAATGAAATGAATTTCATGGAGATTCCACCTGATGGAAGTGATAAATAGTTTTTAATTCAATTAAGTAGACATGTAGGGTTTGGTATCCTCATGAATGTGATTACATTTGATTCTTTATTTTGACCCGGGCCTGGTTGAGGTATTAAATGATGAAATGTTGTATGTACTTGCGTTTTTAGCTGTGATTGCATTGATTTACAGATTGTTAATAAGTTTTAACTTCTAAGGCTATACCAGCATTTTGAATACATTTGATGTGTGAATGCTTTATGTAATGAATTGAATTCCTTCATCCAATTCATTGATTTTGCCTCTTATCTTTTGATATTTGTTTTCTATTTACGCCTGGATTCTCTGGTCTTGATCTCCAGGAATTCTTTATTTGATCTAGTTTCAGATTAATAAATGAAGCATATTGTGAAGATTTTGGCATTGGTAGTAGCCATTACAGTGTTATGGATTGGTCTTTTACAAACTTCGGTGATTTCACATAGCTACACTTGGCTGGTAGGTCTTCATATTATTATATGCTTGATTTTTATTTTTTTTATTTGGTTTTCAGGACAAGATAGTTTTAGGTGGGGAGGCTTTCTGTTTCCAAGGGTGGGAAATGCAGTTGTGTATGTGGATTCCCTATTAAGGGGGATTAGTGGCAACTAAATTCAAACCCCTAAGGCTTTTTAGCAAAGTACTATGATCTTTTCCATTTTCATCAATTGTGTTGTAGTTCTATTGTGTTGAAATCTAATTACATCATGCTGACCATTCCTTGTTCTGTCCTCTGTGCAGCTACCTATATATTTTGTTGTGTCTTTAGGATGTTACGGTCTATTAATGGTTGGAGTTGGTCTGATGAATTTCCCAACCTGTCCCCAAGAAGCTCTGTTGTTGCAGAAGGTATTCTTCTATGTCTTTTGTTCATTTGATATTGCAATGTAAATAAATTTTCTTAGTTTGGGGTTCTATAGTGCCTATGTAACATGCATGTTACATGATGTGTGCTTGTGTAGTTTACTCATTTCACAGCTGTGTGTGTACATAAAAGTTTCTTGACTGAAAGCTTACTATGTTTAATTTCGACACTTATTGTGGATTGAAAATTAAATATTATTGATATTTATCAAATTAGACGCTATTGAGGTTTTAAAATTTTATAATAAAAGGATGTGTTCTCTTATAATATTACATAGGACTACTAAAAGATGAGTGAAGTCTTAAAAATTAACAACCACACAAACAAACCTGTCATATTCCTGAGTGTCAACGAAGTCATCTCAAAGCAAACCTGTTTTCCACCTGCATTTTACTCTTTGGACCTTATAACTTTGTAGTTTTAAATTGCAATTGTTATGTTTGAAATGTTTGAAGACTCCACTCTTAGTTTAAAGCATGTGATGTGTGTCTCAGTTGTTCTAATTTCATAGGGACTTAGTGGCTGTGTCATTTACCACTGGAGTCGGTAGAATTCTATCATCAAGATCCTTTCCCTCAGATTTATCATTTTTATTCGAAAAGAAATTCTAGGTGTAGAATCGGGAGTGGTTATGGGACTGGTAGAATGATACTTTTGTAAATCCAATGTAATCACAAAAATTTCTAATATTTCTTATCCGGCATACTGCAGACCTAGTATGAGCATATCCCTCTTGCTTTGTTATGGCGATCTACATCGCATTGTCAAGGATCATCATCCTCATTATCAGTGAACAACAACACTCTGTCACTGATATATAGAGTCTGCAATTGTTCCATGTCTAGCTTCGATTATTCTATTAAAAAGTAATACAGGATTTTTGTGTGGGTCATCAAATGAACCAACCACCCAAGCTTAAGCTGTTCTTAGGTAGAATATTTTTGCTTCTCCAACTTACGTAATCATCAATGAAGGTTATTTTAATGTCCCCCATGCGTTTGTGAATTTAGTTGGCACTCTTACTATATGCTAATGGATAGTAAATGTCATCAGCTAAATAGAAACCTGAATTTTCTAACACGAGGAATGCTAGCACCAAATTACGAGTGCTTTTCTGCCTGCTCTCCCTCTTCCTTATTTGCACTGCATCGACTATAAGAAAATGATTTTGCCTCCACAAATCTAAACTCTATTAATTAAAGTCCTATTGTCATTATGGTCGTTATGCACCTACTAGTTTTATTCTCCTAAATGCCCTTTTAAGGAGTCCGGTATAGGTAATCATTATGGCTTGATTATAGTAGATTCATGTTGGATTCATGATGTGGAAAAATTAGTCATTGTTCCTAGTTAGAATGATTGTGGCATGTCGGAGAAGAGTGTTGATTTTTCTTCTTTTCAGGACATTGTTGAGGCCAAGGAATATTTGAAACAAAAAGGAGTTGATCTTACTCTCGACTGATGTGGTTGATGCGGTTTCAGATCTAACGAGATGTTCTGAATAGGCTGCTGACAAATACCCGATTCAGAGTTGTGAAAGATTTTTCATTTAACTTCATACACAACAAATTACTAATGTGGAAACCGCCTTCGATTTTGGCAAATGTACATGAACTCTTTATACAATCAATGGATAGCTTTTTTTCTGTCAGTATTCTTTTATTTTAATTTTGATTGCAAATTTTTAGCCTTTGAGAACATTGGAGAACATTGTGTATTTAAACAATGGTTCCTCAAGATATGATGATAGGAAGATCGGAGAACATTGTGTATTTCAACAATGGTTACTCATGATATGATGATTGAGTTGAATGTTTAGTTTTTAAACTTGATGTGAATTTGGAAATTTGTTTTTGTGTAAATTTTGATATACTTTTGTTCTAATTTAAATGGTATTTCAGGTTAATATTTAAGTTAAAATGTAATAAATCATGCGAAGAATTTAAGTGTTAGTCTGGAGGAATAATATTTAACGCTTAATTTTATTTTTTTTAAAAAGAGCTATATTTATTCAGTAAAAAAAACAATGTATTAAAATTTAAAATGAATAAATTTTAAATTGTGTTTAAATTTAAAAATTAAAAACATTTAATTATTGGAATTTAAATAAATTTTAAATTTTGATTGTGTGTAAACTTAAAAATTAAAAACATTTAATTATTTGAATTTAAATAAATTTTAAATTTTAATTGTGTTTAAATTTAGAAATTAAAAACATTTAGTTACTCGATATCGGATGAATTTCACGAGTGTGTTATATTCTTATAAATTGCTTCCGAAATGGGATGATTGTTAAGTTAATTTATTTAAAACTTAATTTTTCTTTTATTCAAGCAAGATATTAATAATTGTCAGAGTTGATATTTTTTGTAAAGATTACTCATCATGAAAATTGAATAATATATCAAATTCATAAAACAGTAGCCGAATTAAAAGTTATTTTTTTAGAATTTAAAGTCCAAATTACACTACAATATTGTAAAATATAGTAAAAATGGTTTTGTTAATATATCAATATATATTTTAAAAGAATATTATAAATATACTATTCTTTTAAATATACTAATTTTGATATATAAAAACACTTTCTTACATATTTTAAATTATTAAATTCAGTATAATTGAAAAAGTAATTGAGACATCAGAACTAAAAGGGGATAAGTTGGAACCAAATTAAAATTTGAAATCAGGAGAAATTGGGATACTAAAGGCATAACCCTGGACTTTTAGGTCACATTGACTGATTTAAGATAAAATATTGGCATACACTTGTCTACTACACATTTTAATTATTTGTTTTATTATTTTTACTAAAATTAAATTAAGGTTTTGAGAATTTCAGTAAACTCTTATAATCTTTATATATAATAATGGAAATTAAAGATTGAACATAAAACTAGTTTAAAAGAAATCAATTAAACCCCTTTCTTTTAGTTATCAAGGTCATTATAATGACAACTATAACTAAAAAAATGTTAACCTTTTTAACTATTAATAAAATTTCGAGATGTTACATTTTTCATTAAGATTAAGATATAAAAAGTAAAAGAACAGTAAATTAATTAAATTTTTTATTTTATTCTAAATTTTTGAGCAAATGAACGTAAATAATTTTGATTGTAATCACAATTCCTCGACAAAATAAAGTAATCAGCTTTATAAATCAATGATTTAAAAATGTTTAATTAATATTAACGTATTCCTTAAAAATAAAAGAACACAAACAGAACTGGCATCTATTGATTGTAATGAGGAGTTTGTGTACATTGGCCAAAATAGTTCCCACATCAGTATTTAGTGTATGAAGGTTAAATGCAAAAAATCTTTCAGAACAACCAATCGGGTAATTCTCAGCAGCCAATTCAGAACATCTCGTTAAATTTGAAACCAGGTCAATTTAGAGTGAGAACAACTCCTTTCTGTTTCAAATATTCCTTGGCCTCAACAATGTCCTGAAAAGATTTGAAATAAGCAACATTCTTCTGCGACATGCAACAACGGCAGAACATATCTGAATTCTAACTAGGAACAATGGCTTCAATTTTTCTACATCATGAATCCAACACCAATCTAATATATTCAGGCCATAATGATTAGCTCTACCGGATTTCTTAAACGAGCAATTAGGAAGCAAGACCATTATGACAATTGGATTGTAATTTGAATGAAGTTAAGATTTCTGGAGCCAAAATTGTTTTCTTACACTAGATGCAGTGCAAATACGGAAGAGGGAGAACAGAGCAGTAAGTAAAGCACATGTAATTTGGTGCTGAGATCCCTTACCTTGGCATAATTAGGTATATATTTAGCTGTTGACATTTATTATCCACCAGCATATGGAAAGAGTGCCAACTAAATTCACAAACGTATGGACATAAGTTGGTGATGCAAAAATATTCTACCCAATAATAGCTTAAGCTTTGGGTGGTTGGTTTTGTTGATGATCCACACAAAAATCCTTATTACTTTTTAACAGAATAATTGGAGCTTGCCAGGAACACGTTGCAGACTCTAACTCTATATATCAGTGACAGTGTTGTTCATAGATAATGAGGATGCTGATCCTTTCCAGTGTGATGTAGATCGCTATACAACAAAGCAATTCATATTGTAGGTCTGCTGTATGCCAGATAAGAAATATTGGAATACTTCTGTGTGATTAAATTTGATTTACATAAGTATCCCTCCACCGGTCCCATAACCACTCCAGATTCTGCACCTAGAATTTCTTTTCAAATAAAAATGATAAATCTGAGGGAAAGAATCTCGGTGATAGAATCCCACCGACTCTAGTGATAAAGGACACAGTCGTTAAGTCCCTAAGAAGTTAGAACAACTGAGACACCACATGTTTTAAACCAAAGTGGAGTCTTCACACGTTTCCAAGATAACAGTCATTAGAAACCACAAAGTTATGAGGACCCGAAGAGTAAAATGCAGGTGGAAAACAGTTTTCTTTGAGATGACTTCTTTAACACTTGGGAATATGACTGGCTAGTTTGTGTGGTCGTTAACTTTTAAGACTTCACACGCATTTTTAAGACTGGAATTGGGAATATAAGAGAACATATCCTTTTCTTATAAATTTTTTAAACCTCAATAGCGTGTAATTTGATGAATATCAATAATGTCATTTTCAATCCAGTATGTGGAAATTAAACATAGTCATCTTTTCAGCACAAAAACTTTTACGTACACACAATTGAGACTTGAGTAAACTACGCATGCACACATCAAGTAAACATTGCATATTCCATAGGCACCATATAAGCACAAACCAAATAAACAAAAGGCATAGAAGAATACCTTCTGCAACAACAGAGCTTCTTGAGGACAGGTTGGGAAATTCATCAGACCAACTCCAACCATTAATAGACCGTAACATCCTAAAGACACAACAAAATATATAGGTAGCTGAACAGAGGACAAAACAAAGAATAGTCAGCATTATGTAATTATAATTAAACAAAATAGAGCTACAAGAAGATTGATGAAGCTGGAAAAGATCATAGTACTTTGCTAATAAGGCTAAGGCTAGGTTTGAATTTAGCTGCCAGTTATCCCCCTTGATAGGGAATCTACGCGCAGAAGTGCATGCCCAACCTTGGAAATAGAAAGCCTCCCCACCAAAAAATATATTGTCCCAAAAGCCAGATAAAAAATATAAATCAAGCATATAATAACAAGACCTACCAGCCAAGTATGGTTATATGGAATCACAGAAGTTTGTAAAAGGCCAATCCATAACACCGTAATGGCTACTACCAATGCCAAAATCTTCACAATGTGCTTCATTTATTACTCTGAAATTAGATCAAATAAAGAATTCCTGAAGATCAAGACTAGACAATCCAGAACGTAAATAGAAAATAAATATCAAATGATAACAGACAAAATCATTGAATTGGATGAAGGAATTCAATTCATTACATAAAGCATTCACACACCAAATGCATTCAAAATGCTAATATAGCCTTAAAAGTTAAAACATATTAACAACCAGTAAATCAATGCAATCACAGCTAGAAACGTAAGTACATACAACATTTCATCATTTCCTACCTCCAGGCAAGGGTTAAAACAAATAATCAAATGTAATCACATTCATGAGGATACCAAATCCTACAAACTTAATTGAATTAAAAACTATTTGCCACTTCCATCAGGTGGAATCTCATGAAATTCATTTCATAATTTAATGTAACTCAAAACCCTTGCGCAATTTTCCAGAATCATTTGGAAGTATCAGGTACAAATGGACAAACTAAAAATCCACGTCACAAGATCAAGGATATCAAGAGTCAAAACAAATAATCAAATGTAATCACATTCATGAGGATACCAAATCCTACAAACTAAATTGAATTAAAAACTATTTGCCACTTCCATCAGGTGGAATCTCATGAAATTCATTTCATAATTTAATGTAACTCAAAACCCTTGCGCAATTTTCCAGAATCATTTGGAAGTATCAGGTACAAATGGACAAACTAAAAATCCACGTCACAAGATCAAGGATATCAAGAGTCAAAACAAATAATCAAATGTAATCACATTCATGAGGATACCAAATCCTACAAACTTAATTGAATTAAAAACTATTTGCCACTTCCATCAGGTGGAATCTCATGAAATTCATTTCATAATTTAATGTAACTCAAAACCCTTGCGCAATTTTCCAGAATCATTTGGAAGTATCAGGTACAAATGGACAAACTAAAAATCCACGTCACAAGATCAAGGATATCAAGAGTCAAAACAAATAATCAAATGTAATCACATTCATGAGGATACCAAATCCTACAAACTTAATTGAATTAAAAACTATTTGCCACTTCCATCAGGTGGAATCTCATGAAATTCATTTCATAATTTAATGTAACTCAAAACCCTTGCGCAATTTTCCAGAATCATTTGGAAGTATCAGGTACAAATGGACAAACTAAAAATCCACGTCACAAGATCAAGGATATCAAGAGTCAAAACAAATAATCAAATGTAATCACATTCATGAGGATACCAAATCCTACAAACTTAATTGAATTAAAAACTATTTGCCACTTCCATCAGGTGGAATCTCATGAAATTCATTTCATAATTTAATGTAACTCAAAACCCTTGCGCAATTTTCCAGAATCATTTGGAAGTATCAGGTACAAATGGACAAACTAAAAATCCACGTCACAAGATCAAGGATATCAAGAGTCAAAACAAATAATCAAATGTAATCACATTCATGAGGATACCAAACCCTACAAACTTAATTGAATTAAAAACTATTTGCCACTTCCATCAGGTGGAATCTCATGAAATTCATTTCATAATTTAATGTAACTCAAAACCCTTGCGCAATTTTCCAGAATCATTTGGAAGTATCAGGTACAAATGGACAAACTAAAAATCCACGTCACAAGATCAAGGATATCAAGAGTCAAAACAAATAATCAAATGTAATCACATTCATGAGGATACCAAACCCTACAAACTTAATTGAATTAAAAACTATTTGCCACTTCCATCAGGTGGAATCTCATGAAATTCATTTCATAATTTAATGTAACTCAAAACCCTTGCGCAATTTTCCAGAATCATTTGGAAGTATCAGGTACAAATGGACAAACTAAAAATCCACGTCACAAGATCAAGGATATCAAGAGTCAAAACAAATAATCAAATGTAATCACATTCATGAGGATACCAAATCCTACAAACTTAATTGAATTAAAAACTATTTGCCACTTCCATCAGGTGGAATCTCATGAAATTCATTTCATAATTTAATGTAACTCAAAACCCTTGCGCAATTTTCCAGCATCATTTGGAAGTATCAGGTACAAATGGACAAACTAAAAATCGACGTCACAAGATCAAGGAAATCAAGAGTCAAAACAAATAATCAAATGTAATCACATTCATGAGGATACCAAATCCTACAAACTTAATTGAATTAAAAACTATTTGCCACTTCCATCAGGTGGAATCTCATGAAATTCATTTCATAATTTAATGCAACTCAAAACCCTTGCGCAATTTTCCAGCATCATTTGGAAGTACCAGATACAAATGGACAAACTAAAAATTGACATCACAAGATCAAGGAAATCAAGAACATAAAATTCATTGCACATCAAATGAATCAGTTCAAAACAGAGAGAACATATCTTTCTAGTTTGTACAAGAAACTTTAGCACCACACTGAGAGAATACAATTTCAGTTGTTATAGATTACAAGAATCAAAATATAATGTACACGGTATCTTATATGTCTTCACCCATTTATAAATATGTAAGTATAATTATAGGGTAGGAAGTTATAAAAGTAAATAAACACTATCCTTGATGATCATGGAGGAACAATGTAAATCATGAAGGATTATACAATTCTTTGGTTATGATGATGAACAAACCTGTAACTTCTATCATTGAGTGTTTTATCTTTTACATGCATGAGTGCTAGTAAATCATTCATTAGACTAAGTATAGCTAGCTTATCATTCTTTATCATCATCTCAAAGCTCTTAAAACGTTTATGAAATTCTTTCTTTTAAACTGAGCAAGAATATATAATCAATTATGTTAAAATATAATTGATTATCTTGTGAGAGACAATTCTAAGGTTTAGGGTTTAATCAATTATCTAAAGAAAATAAGCACAGATAATCAATTATTTATTTAGATAATCCATGTAGTCAATTTACAGATTCAATCAAGAACGAAATAATAAATTATCAATTATAGTAATAGATTAATAGGTTTAATAGGTTCGGAGATCCCTATATTTGTGGGTTCGTTTCAATTGGGTCCTCCAATTTTGGAAGTGACCAATTGGGCCCCTAATTTGGTCAATTTGATTCAATAATAACATTTTCGTTAAATGCAGTTAACGACGTTAACTTTTTTAAGCTGAGGCATCCAGGTGGCACCGTATAGGTGAATTTTTAACATTTTTAATTGTTAAATAAATTAATTGTTAAATATTAATTGTTTAACATAATTTAATATGTTTAATAATTTCTCTACCCAGATTCCTCCCAAATATGGCACCTGGCAGCACCTCCAGTACCTCGCCGTCTCCAGCAACGAGCTCACGGGAAACATCCCTCCGGAGCTTGGAAACCTCCCCACGCTTCACGAGCTTTACTGTGGAAACCTCATTCTTCCTCTTCCAAATCCCCTTCTGACTTCAAACCTTCCTCACCTTCTTCTTCCTTTCCATTCTAATCATATTATTTTTATTTTTCTCAAACCACGGTCAGACATTCCAACAAAACAATACCAACAATAGTCATCACCTAGTCTGCGGCGGGCGTCGCTTTCTCTTGGGAGGAGGTTGTCCAGCGGGCTCAAGGTATCGCCGGTGGTGGTGGACTCCGCTACAAAGAAAAGGATGGCCACCATTGTCGCCGGGATCTCGAAGGTCTCCGATGCACTGGTTGGATCCAAGAGTGCGAGAAAGAATTGGGATGAGCAACCACCGGCCACGCCGATTGAAACTGAACACAAAGAAAAGGGTGGTTCTAATTTTGTAGAGAAATCCAATTTTGCAGCTATGGGTATCACCATTCATGAAAAGGGTGGTTCTAATTTTGCAGAGAAATCCACCCTCACACATCTCAGCCGCTTCCTGTGCCCCCACTACAAGAAAAACTCTGGAACCTTGAGCCCTTGCACCCTTTCTGGTTCCTCTCTTCGGCCTCCATACCTACACCACACAGAACAACAAAACCGCTCAAGCTTCAGTTTTTCACCATACAGAAAAAGGGGGTTTGTGTTCTCGGACTCCATGCAATGTTGACCACTCAAACCCTTCTCTGCACGAGAGAACACGATTTTAATCAGCAATCAAAATTGAAACCAAAATCAAACCTGATTTTGACAATCTTGGAGCACAAAGAGAAACCAGAAACGTCAATCAGTTCCAACAACGAGATTGGAGTTGGGTGTGGGAGGGTGAGAAGAAAGTTTCCCAAAGAGAGGAGAAGGTGAGGAAGAGGAAGGGGAAGTGGAGAAGGTGGTTTCCACACAACGAGATATTTCTAATTATATATTATTAATTGTTTAACATAATTTAATAGGTTTAATAATTTCTAATTATATTTTCATTTATTAATATATTTAACAATTAAAAATATTAAAAATCCACTTATCCAGCTCAAACGGTGCCACTTGGATGCCTCAGTTTAAAAAAGTTAACGTCATTAACTACATTTAACGAAAATGCTATTATTGAATCAAATTGACCAAATTAGGGACCCAATTTGATCACTTCCAAAATTGTAAGACCCAATTGAAAAGAACCCGCAAATATAGGGACCTCCGAACCTATTAAACCTAGATTAATATTATAGTAATTGATTAACTCTTTTGTAAGAAGCTTACATACATGCTTTCTCTAGAAATTACATAAGCTTTTGCTAATATACACATGTACCTTTACTCTCCAATATTTGCTCCAAAAAATATTTCTTGAACAAGAGCTGAAAGATTAAAGATCATCTTTATTAAACTTGATTACATTTTTTTTCTTAACTTCATTAATTTTCTGGAATTCAATCATAAATAGGTGATATATGGGTCGATCCACAATAAAAGTTCTTAAAATATAATAAACATATAACGGAATTTATGCAAATCCAAATGAAGATCAAGTTTCTTACATGTTACCAAAAAAAATAAAAAATTACAAACGATTGCCATCATGAAAGTATTTGTACTTTGTAGGTTTGGATGCTTCATTGATAAGTACGAGTGAAGTATCCTTAACATATCGGTATCAGACACGAAACTAATTGAATTATCAATGCTTCAAAGACAACCACTAACTCAACAACTGAGGATACTAAAATTTGTAAGATTGCAGGGTGAAATGATAGCCTGCATGTTTTTTGCATTTATGTTTATGCTTCAATGCCCTAAATATAAACAAGGATTCCCAGACAAAACTTTGGTACATATATCCTACTCCTGCCCGTAGCATCTAAAGTTATAAGTTATTCATGCATGTCAGGATTATTATCTGCAATCTCCTAAATAAGCCTACCAAATCAACTTAATGAAAAAAAAAAATTCTTCAGCACATACATTTCTTCAGCTTCTAGCTTCTCGATTTAGAAGAACACATTCGACAAATACATAGCTTGACATTGAAATCTAGCATCAAGTCAAGCTCAAATGCGAAAACAAACTTCTTGGTAGTACCTCGTTTAGCTATATGTATATCCAAAATAAAAACTTAAACAACCCAATGCAATCGGAATCAACACATACAAGAGAATTGAAAATTGAAATTTAAAGAATCGAGTGACTATGAATGAACCTAAATTCAACCTCCAAACGATCATATTAATCAATAGACCTAGCAGAAATACATGCGTGTTTCATTTTTTAGTGGTCTGCAAAATCAATGCTTACTTACACCGAAAGATTGAATGATAAATCAGAATTCGAAAGCAAGAGAGAAGACGAAAGGAAGAAGAAGAACCTCGTGATCACAGTTGCAGCTTGTGCTGCTCAGGGTACAGTGTACCACAGCCGCGAATTGAAGATTAAAAGAAAAAGCAATGATGCATTGCTAATGAGATCGTGAACGACAATGTAGGAGGGATCCTGGGATTTAGCTGCAGAGGTTGTGGAATTTATATATTAGGGTTGAAAGGGAGGAGAGGATACAGGAGAAGTTGCGGAGGTTAGGGTCAAAGGAGAAGGCGGCATTGGATTAAATTCTGAATTGAACTTAAGCATGCACTGGAAATTCTTCCATACCAATAATTTCAGAGCAGAACATTTACAACACCAAGGTACAAAACTTTCAGCAATTCATCATTTAGAAGTATCATTCCTAATTAATCTATTCCTTACAGACACCAAAAATCATACCAATTTTAACATTCATACTCATCCTTGCACCTTAAAACAGAATAGCAATAATATACAAAGCATATATTTCAATGCATTCCGAGTAAAGATAAATGCATTCACAAAAGTCCTATTATGAGACATCATTCATATTACTCCATAAATTACTTAACCTGTCAGACAGGAAATAATCAAGGAAATTGGTTCATGTATGAAATCAACAGTTTTCCAGACACTCAGTTTAAAATTCCAGTTTTATTGAAAGAGAGCAGAACACTAAATTCAATTTTTAGAAACACCTCTTTGGTCCCAATGCAATAAACCAATGTAGTCATATTCCAATTCAAAGCAGCGCACATATATAGACAATTTTCTGGCTCGAACCAATTGAACATCATACTACAATATATCAAAGTTGCATCAATAAAAGTATCCGAACATTACCATTCCTCTTCGTGAATCACAAGCCAAGGGAAAACACAAAATTTTCAGAAACCATCCATTACACAATCAAACAAGAGGTTAACTCCATCAATACCCACCTTCCCTACAAATGTTAAATTCCTAAGTCTACTTTTCATTCACTTTATTACCTAAGAACCCACCCCCAATTCGACCCAACCACATCTCATTCTTCCGCATCAAAAAAACAACATACCATTTACTTCAATATACCCCAACCTTACAGACCAACAGACCGTTTCAGTTCCCACATATTACAACAGATCATTGGCAAATTATCAACTCATTATCATGTACAATATAAATAACCAAAAGACTGCTCCCAGTTTTACAATTCTAAAAGTATTCCAATTCAACACGCCAACCATTCAATTTAATCAAAACTCAGAATACTGAACATTTTCACATTCGAACTTAATAGCACCCTACATCCTAATTAAAACTGTACATAATTCCAAAACAACTCAAAAGTGACGAAACAAAGACCAAAATAAGAACACCATTTCGCAGACAATATAACTAATCAAAACAAAAACAGACTAGCTCCCCACCTGGAATGCGTTCCTACTCGTCTTCTAGCTAGCTTCGCGTCCTCACAGCCCAGTCCCAGTCCTCTCTTTCTCCCTTGCTCGCCTCAAAACCCACCTCTTCTCAGACTCACTCTGATTCCTATAATTTCTTGCTTTGGTGTGTCTCTACCATCCACTCTCGCTCCTATTTATAGGCTCCTTCTTCGGCCTCAAATTAATTTCTCGAACCCTATACTTAACTCCACCAACATCGGATTCCTTCTTCTCCCTTACTCTATCGAAACCGCGCCTCGCTCTTCTTTAATTTCCCCTTTCCGTTACTCTCCAGAACCTTGGATTCCCTCAAAACCTAGGGTTTTCTATCTAAGAAGAAGAAAGAGAAGGGAGAAGAGAGAAAACGAGAAAAAGAAAGAAAAGAAGGAAGAATCAAATGATCTAAGTCTGTGACTCTGTCCATCCTTCCCTGGCCAAGTAGTGCCTTGAAATCCGTGACTCAACCCGAGTTAAGTTAGAAAAAATGCAAAAAATTTAATCTGGCTCAATTTTGACCTGACTAGTTAAGAATTTGGTTTAGAGGGGTTGGTGTATCAGATTGGTTCACCAATTTATTTATTTATTTTAATTAAATTAATTATTAAAATCTTATTTTTTTATTAAAATTAAATTAACTAAATTAATTATTCAAAACGCACAATTTTTACGTAGAGCCTTTCTCATTGTTGTCTTTTCGAAAGTTTCTCTTTACAAATAAAATCTTAAGATTATAAATTAGATAATATTATAGATGGAGATAAATAAGAAAATGTTTCAAGATAGCATAATACTGTGGATTTATCCATTCAGGACTCCAATTTAATAGATGGATAATATTATAGATTGGATAATTCAAGAATATATCATTTATTTTATCTTGTTTTTAGACCTATCTACAAGCATGTCAGTTTTATCTTGTGCTATATATTTTTGGTTAACGACTATATGTAGTTTCTTGGTCAAACGGTTGTGTATGTCTCATTAAACTAAATTGGCAAAATTTTATGCTTGATAGCTTAGAATATATATAACAATATATTTCTTTTGTTTCATTTTTTTTTATATCAATTGGTCCAATTATTACCGTTTCAATTTGATCGATCAAAGTAACATGTTATAAGAATCTCAGAAGAAAATGGTGAAAAAAAAGTTAATTAAGTGAGTCAATGAGCCAACCCGTTTAACCCACCAACCCGTTTAACCCACCAACCCGTGGTGGATCGGGTCGGGTTACCCGTTTTGACAGCTCTAGGTTAATGGGCTTCGAAATCTAGCGAAAACGAAATTCTGATGCAAAACAAATAAAAAAAATGTAGCAGAAATAAAATATACAAGCTATTTTTAGTGCTTCAACAAAATTAACAAGATTAAAGCATACTCTTTACTCTACCAATAATATACACACACATTACTACTAAGTTAACTTATTTTCACTAATAATATACTCATTTATTATTTCTTTAAATTTTGAATATTTATATTTTAATTGCACGATTAATTATTTTACTCCACAAATAACATATACATAAGACCATTACTTAACTCATTAATCTCTTACCAATTAAAGTATATGGTACTTGTATAAAATATTATTTATTTTATTAACAAATCAGATTCTAGTCACTCGTCCAAGAACGTTTATAAAATTTTACATAAGTGGTATGAAAATGATAAAATATTATGCAACATAATAGAGGATGAAGGTAATAACAAACTTTTTAGGATTACTTCTAAGTGTTAATTCCACCATCCAATTTCATATGAGATTTCTTAATATTATAGAGTTTAGAACATTCTATCATGACATAAAAGATATGCTTCTAAAGTTGATTATTCTATCATAACAAATGTTTGATGATTTAAGTCAACTAATGAATGACAAAGCTAGGAATGTTGAGTTAGATTTTTTTTGAAGATATTATTTGAGCAAAATATTGAATTAAAGAAAATGAGAGAGGACATATATCAGAGGTGGCAGAATCGAATAAATGATGTGAATGACATTAAAACCAAAAAACCAAATCAACAACTAAAACAAGTAATTTGATATATTGAATGAAACAATGTCGTAGAGTTATTTTCCACTAATAGAGTCCAACCACAATACAATAAAAGTCTCATCATAGCATTTATGTATAAAATGAAACATAAAGCAAATTTCCCGATTATCCCTAATCCTTGCCCACGTGAAATGATCAGAATCCACTTGAAGCAAATAAAGGAATTAAAGGTCATATTGGGATGACAGCTGTAGTAGCAAAGAGAAAAGGCTCCAACAGAAAGAAGAATAAAAAAGAAGGATCATACCCATATCATGCTTTTCCTCCCTAATGATGATCCTTTAAAAACACATTTGGTTTGCAGTGCCTACCACTTCTTCTTTCTCCTGGATCAGCCTCCACGTGTCCTTTGCCCAAAACTAACTTTTGCTCACCCTTCCCCTTCAAATCAACCTTGTCCTTAAGGTTGAACTAAGGATACTACTGCTCAATGAATAACAATTCTTCCCATGTAGCTTCATTAGGTTCCGCTAAGTCTCATTGAATCAATAATTGTTGTACTTCTACACCATTTATGAAAATGATTCTTGCATCCAAAACTTGTTGACGCTAAATTGGCCCAAATTCAGCTGTGGTAAGAGGCAATGATAAATACTGCTTCTGTTGATTCCCTTGAAACTTCTTAAACAAAGAAATGCGAAAGACTGGATGTATACGAGCCGGTTTCGGTAATTCCAATTTGCATGCCACTTGCAAATACGCTTCACCACCTTAAAAGGTCAAAAAAACGCATGCCTAGCTTTTTATTCTTTCTAAGGGCAACCAAATGTTGTCTATAAGGTTGTAATTTCACCAAAGCCAAATCACCCACATCCAGTTGAACTTCTCTCCTCTTTTTATCAGCTTGTGACTTCATATAGTTATGAGCTTTGAGTAAATTAGTCTTGAGTTGCTGTAATAATTTGTCTTTGTTTATCAATGTTTCCTGTAAGGATGCAAGATCCTTAGAATGCACCTAATACGGATTGACACAGGGAGCTTCTCGACCAAATACATCCTTGAAGGGACTCATTGTTATACTATGATGAAATGAAGAATTGTTCTAATATTGTGCCCATGCTAACATTGGATACCACGACTTAGGATTTTCATACACAATACATCTCAAGAGTCTTGTTAAGGATCTTAGTCCCATCACTTTGAGGGTGATAAGAAGAACTCATAGCTAAGGTGGTTCTCTGTGCTTTGAACAATTGCTACCAAAAAGAGCTGATAAAAATCCTATCCCTGTCAGACACAATAGATTTAGGAAATCCATGTATCTTGGCAACATTGATTATGAATGCCTCTGCTACTACTTTACTGTTAAAAAAGAATGGCTCAATTTCTCAAACCAAGAGGGGGGTTGAATTGGTGAAGTATAAAATTTAAAACTTTAAAAATCTTTTTCACCAAAAGAGATGTCTTTATACTTTTCTTGAAACACAAGTTAAAAGATTTTCAATGCAGCGGAGATTTAATTGAATGCGCAAAGAGTATAATTGATTGAATGTAACAGAGTAGGGATAAGAAAGATCAAACGCTTAGTTTTTATATTTGTTTGGCCAAGCCTACATCTAGTGTCCTTCCAACCACAAGAAGCCAATGCACTATAATGATCAAGGTTTTTACAACAAAGCTTTATAGAGACCTCACGTCAAAATATAGGCAGTATACAAACAGACTAGTAGCAAGAATCCCCTCTCCTGCAGTCCAACTCCTTTGAGGCACCCTCAAAGTCAAAAACACAGCACGTCCTTCTTCCTGTAATCACAACAGGGAACTCAACCCAATCTTCAGTAGATTATAGAACTTGATCTTGCAGTAGACACCCAAATGTGCAGATAGATCAGACTTTGAAAACTCAGCAATTTTGCTCTTCAAGAAATCACACCTAGTTGATCACCACGATCAAACTAGTGTCTTGGAGCTCTTTCTCTTTCTGTAAGCTTTGCACTTTTCTGCAAAAGAATATGAAAATGTTAGAATCACAAAAGTCTTTAAAGAAATCAAATTTGCGTCAATTTATAGTAAAACACATCTCTGACGCATTTTAATCGACTAAGCTACGAATACATTCGAATACACCAATTCAGTTATAACAAATAGTAGTAGTCAAAGCACTTAATTGAATTCACAATTAATGCAGTCGAATAACATTTAATGCTTGGTCAACATATTTAAAAATATAGTCGTTGTAACAGTTATATCAAGCATTAACAGATTGCAAAACAGTAACAAACTTAATCGAATACATATCGCATGCAATCGATTATGCAATAGTGTTATGCAAAGTTTTGAAAACTTTTCTCTTTGAAAAACTCTCACAGCACACTTGAAAAGGTTTGTGAAAAAACACGAGTTTTAATCGATTCACCCCATAATGTAATCAATTTCAAATTGTTGTTTTGCCACACATTTTAACATTAGTGCTTGTGGTCTTTCATCCAAAAACATGTGTCATGCATTCATGTATAAAATCACATATATAACTCAGTGAAATGCAATGAACAACACAATAATCAACACAATCATGTTCTCATATACTCTTATAACATGTAAGCATAGAACATGTAACACAAAATACACATGTGTTATTAATTATGTGTTATCATCATCAAAAACTCAGATATTACTGAGATTGTAGGGTTGAGAGACATACCTTTTTGATGTGACTGCTTTCCAATGTCTGAGTCACCTGCTCTGCTCGGTTGTACTCTTAACCAAGGGGGGAGGTACCTGCAAAAGGCACTCGATGCCCAAGTTAAGCGTCTGTTGGAAGAGCTTCTGCTCACAATTGAATATTATGAATCCAATAGAACGTACCTGGCTTTTGGCCCTGACCTTATATTTATAAGTCATCTCATGGATCCTAGACTAGCACATATCCAATAAAATAAAAACAAACTTACCTTTGGATTCGGTTAGTTACTCATAAACAACTTATCAATATATTTAATCAGATAACTTTAATTAAACGCCAGACTATTGGCCCAATAACAACTTAAACGCTGGCCAATTATGGTCCAACATCAATAAAACCATTTGACCAGATTGACTATTGTTGTTGTAGCGGATGGACCGAACGGTCCTCCGTTCGATCTATATTATATATCATACATATGTTCCTTAAGTCCGATTTAACCGTTTGGCTGTAGCAAAGGATAACTATAGGACTTATAATAGGCGTATTGGAGTTTGAGAGAGGTCATTTCTATATATTGGGAAACTTGTTTTCAATGTGCTTTTAATCTTTATTATATACAATACACGTAGTAAAGTAAATATTTACAGGGGAAAAAAATACATGTATTATGTTAGGTTTAAACCCTCCCTTGGTCCTCAAGTTTGTATGGAAATATGAGTTCGGTCCTCGTTTTTTCATCTGTCTCAATTGGGTCATATTTTTTGTAAAAATGAGCACATTGTACCATAACCGTTAAGTGGTGTGAGACGACGTTAAAATGAAGACGACGTGGTGCACAGAGAATGTGGTGATGTGTGTTGATGACTTACGTGGATTGTTTTGATTAAATAAATAGTGCTGATGTGGCATAAGTACCCTTTATTCATTTTAGGTATATCAGAATTAGGGATTTGAAATTGGAATTGGGGATTTAATTTCGTTGTTGCGAGACGAAGCGGAGGACGAACAACAACTCCAATCTTCAAGAAGACGAAGAGAATCCAACCGATAGTTGACGCGACTAAGGTAAGATATTTCGTTTTGTCTTTGGTTTTCTGTTTGAACGCATAACTGTGATTTTAGTTTTACGAACATGTGCGTCTTCGACAATTGGGTTTTTGTCTTGGTCTGTAACAATTTTTATAATGATTGGTGGTCCCCATTTTGCATGCTCAGTTGTTACGTTGTAGTTTACACATTGTGGTCCTGAATTTTGTTTATTGAATTGTTTATCAGCTGTAGTGGTCCCCTGTCTGTGAGTGTTTCGTTAGTGGGGATGTTACTTTGTTCCCTGTCCCCCTATCTGTGTCGGTGTGAGTGTTTAGTTAGTGAGTGAGTGTTTCGTAGTGGTAGCACTGCAATATTCCAAACATTTGTTAACCCCCATAATGTACAGGTTATAAAAGCAAGTTGTTCATATGGATGAGGAACGTATTAAGGTGGTGGTCCACCATTGTGGAAATTTTGTCAGTGATGATAATGGGAAGTTAAAATTTGAAGGAGAGAGAGCAGAATGGTCTTGTGATCCAGACTTGTGGAGCTATTTTGGCATAGTAGCCTCAGTCAAAGAATTAGGTCATATGGACATCAAAGAATTATGGTACGGTTTAGGAGGTCAGTTTGTGGACCTAGATAGGTTAGAATTATTAACTGATGATAGGGGTGCCATGCACATGTTGAACATTGCTAGGTTAAATGATGAAGTTCATCTGTATGTGGTTCATAATATGATGGTACCAGAAATAATAGAAATGATTGATTGGGTTGGTGGTGAAGTTGATGATGAAGTTCATGTTGCAACGCAAGTGGAGGAGGTTGAGGTTGTTGGTGATGGTCAAGTTGGAACATAAATGGTGGAGGATGAGGGGGATGCCCATGAGGGTGAGGGGGATGCCCATGAGGGTGAGGGGGATGCCCATGAGGGTGATGGTGAGGTCCATACTGAAGTTGGAACATAAATGGTGGAGGGTGAAGGGGATGCCCATGATGGTGATGGTGAGGTCCATACTGAAGTTGGAACAGAAATGGTGGGGGATGAGGGGGATGCCCATGATGGTGATGGTCTGGATCATACTGTTGTAGGAACAAAAATGGTTGAGGGTCAGGGTGATGCCCATGAGGGTGAAGGTGATGGGGGTGATGCCCATGAGGGTGAAGGTGATGGATATGAGGGTGATGGTGAGGATCATAGTGATGTTGGTAAAAAAAATGGTTGAGGGTGAGAGTGATGCCCATGAGGGTGATGGTCAGGATGTTGACGTCCATGAGGTTGAGGATGGTGAGGTACATCATGTAGAGGAAGCTGAGGTACATGATGTAGATGATTTTGAGCTAGAGGATTTAGGAGAGGATGATGATGTAGAGGACAGTGAGAGTGATGATGTACATGAGGCAGAGACTGAGGACGAAGATGTAGACGTCAGTGAAGGAAGTCTAATTGATGTCAGCGTGCATTGTGACAGTGGGACTTGTAAAGAAAATGTGGGAGAACAAGGTTCCAGTGCATTACTTGAGTCTGAACGGTCAACAGATAATGAATTTATTCATGATGTCTGTGGGTTGTCTGACAATGAGAGGCTCTCAGAGGAGTTGATTAGTGGATCAGTACGTGAGGACACTGATGGGAGGACTAAGATAAGGTTTCCCACTTTTAGTATGCCTAAAACTTGGTGGGTTATAAAAGGGAAGTAGAAGCTATTTTCTGGATAAAAATGAATTCACAGATGCCATAAGGACTTATGCACTAAGTAATGGGAGAAGTTTAAAATTTATTAAGAATGACAAGAAAAAGATTTCTGTGAAGTGCTTGGGTGGAAGAGGAAATTGTAAATGGTATGCGTATTGTTCCTTTAGGACTGATGTCAGTGCATGACAACTGAGAAAAGTGTTTGATGTTCACAACTGTAGTAGAGATTTCAATGTAAAGTTGATGATTTCAAAGTGGTTGAGTCAAAGGATGGAGAAAACTGTGAGAGAAAATCCTACAATGAAGGTCATGGACATTATGGACAAAGTTACTAGGAATGGATGTAGAATTTCAAGAATGGGCTTTTAGGGCAAGAGCAATGGCAAAAGAAGGTTTAAGGATACTTCAAGATCAATATAGAAGAACTTCATGATTATGGTCATGATCTGCTGAAAACAATCCAGTACAACAGTACAAATTAAAGTTGATAACAGTAATGGTGAGGTCATATTCCAAAGATTTTATGCATGCTTGAAGGCATGCAAGGATAATTCATTTGTTGTAGACCTATTATTGGCTTGGATGGATGCTTTCTGAAAAGCAAGTATGGAGGGGAGTTTACTAACAGCAGTGGGAAGAGATTGGAAACGACAAAGGTTGCCCATAGCATATGCTATGTTGAGGTAGAACACAAAGACTCCGTACTTGGTTCTTGGAGGCAACCTTACTGAGGACTGTGTGGGGCACCTGTATGTGCAGGATGCACATTTTTACAACCAACAAAAGGTCAGTCAGTTCAATATCTGCTACATATAACGAATATCTTCAATAACAAATGTTAATTAATTAAAATATCTTGAATATGTCAGGGTCTTTTGCCAACTATCCAAGATCTTCTCCCCTGGTGTAGAACAAAGATTTTGTGTTGCATTTATATTCAAACTTGAGAAAAAAATTTTCCTAGAAAAACCTTAAACGTCTCATGTGGCGGGCAGCACAGCCACACACCCACAACAATGGGAAGGCTGAAATGAAGAATATTAAAGACATCAATTTAGACGCATTTAATATCTGCTTGCCATCCCACCTAGGTATGTATTAAGTCTTCTATATTATTAGATTTATAATTATTTAATATTTTGTTTGCCATGACACATACTTGACTAGTTATATTCACTTATCCCAGGTTTTGGTCAAGATCTAGATTCACCTCTAGATCACAATGTGACACTCTTGTGAACAACTGTGTGAGGGCTTTAATAGTGTGCTAGTTGATAGTAGGTCTAAGCCTATTATTAGCTGTTAAGACATAAGGTTTTCCATAATGAAGAGAAGATGGGCTGTCACAGGAAAAAGATCACATCATATCAAGGTTCAATCTGCCCAAGTTTTTTTAACAGATTTCAGAAGGAGTCCTGGTTAATACTAGATTGGTTACAAAGTAATTTTTATGATATGTGTTTCCTTCATGTTAACTTTGTTTCCATTTATATTGATCCATCTAATTGTGTTTTGAATTGTGTATTACATACAGGTGGTCAAGAGGAAAAATTATTTGAATTGAAACATCTTTCACAATTTTGGTGAGCATTTGTTGTGAATGTTACAACGATGGACTGCACATGTAGAAATGGGCAATTACTGGCAATTTCCGGTGACTCATGCCATCACTGCAAATAAATTTTTGAATATAAATGCGAAGAATACATTGGGCCACTGGTTTAAGGAATCTACTTATGAAAGAGACTTACAACACAATAATTAACCCTATCAATGGACAACATGTCTAGGATGTTAACACCCTATTCAGTATATACCCCAAAGAAGAGGACAATGCTAGGAAGACCCAAAAAGAAACGAGACTAGAGGATTGGGAGTTTGAATAGAAGAAATACCTGAATTAAGAAAGGGGGGGCAAGAAGAAGATGTCCCTCTGCAAAGAACTTGGACACAACAGAAAGGTTGTCCACACAGGACCTCCAACAGTAGAGGTTCCTACACTGCCCAATCTGTCACAGTCACGCCAACTCCACCCACAACAGATTTTCCTATTACTCACCAAACAACTATGTCGCTTTATGCTGATGAATGGATGTTATTGTTTATGATGGTATTTGTGGATATCATTTTGACATGCCTTTATCGATGAATGATGTATTGTCTCATCATTTTGAACACAAGTCTGTTGTGAGTATTGTTTATGATGTATTTTGGATATGTTAAGACAATGTTGTTATCATTTTGAACAACTTCCTGTTCAGAATGTAATGACAATGTTTGTGGTTATGAGAAACTTGATTAATTGCCCAATTTCGTTATCACTCATCAACTTTATTGGTCCTTTGCTTGTATGATGTTTCATTATTCCACTTAGTCATGATTGTTGCTTCATGATTATTTCCATTCAGGTACAATATAATTAAATGAATTTAATACACACATTATCACTGTAATAACTCACCAGCGTTCATTAATAAAACACCTATTCCTATAAGCCCAGTTTGAAGTCTGATAACAGATGATCAACAAGCATCAACACTTTCACCCAACATTGCTAACAAGTACATTCAAACAAATATGACAAACATCATCCCTACTAACAATTTCAACCACTTATCCAACTTAACTAAACTTTCATCTCTTAAAAAACCCAGTCTGAATGTTTCACCATATCTTTCTTCATCTGAAACACTGTCTTTCCATGCTCCATCACCCCATCTTCATTCTTACAACTAACATGTCCCTTTCTTCACATTCAGCCCATTTCCCTTCATTTCCTTCTTCATGTGCCAACCACTCAAAGGAGTTGCAAACCAACCAATTCTCCACTCCCCCTTTCACAACAAGAAACACACACTCCTCGTTCAAAAACCCAAAGTAAATAGACATAGATTTATTGTTTTATATCAAACTGACCTGTGAAGTTAGGGCACCCCAGAATTTTTTTTCCCTTTGTTTTTAAGGGTTCTCGCAATACGAAACACTGCATTCTGACCACAGAGGCATCTTGGTTTTGCATCGAACCTCCTAACACTGCCACTACTGTGTTGCATGGCAGAACCCAAACATTTGCAAGAGGAAGATGAATGAGACATCCTTACCACCACCTCAACACCACAGTGCTTGCCCAAGACGTAAGATAGCAGGTGTGCTTCGCCAAGACGAAACACGAAAGACGTTCATCCTCTCCTTCCCCAACACGAAAATATACTTTGGATGAGAGGGGATGCCCTTAAATGTTAGGGCTTGGTAGGCTACCTGAATAAAACACAAGACACATTCAATTTTAGTGCACAATGCCACGTCGCTAAATGAAAAAATCCAGCTCATATCAATTTAACACGCCGTCTCACACCACTTTAACGGTTATGGTACAATGTGCTCATTTTTACAAAAAAGTAATGACCCAATTAAACAGATGAACAAACGAGAACCGAACATGCGATTTCCATACAAACTTGAGGACTCCAAGGGAGGGTTTTTGTAACATGTTTATTAAAAAAGCAACGCGAATCTCTATTTTAAAAACTTAATACTGTTAGTGTGTATTTTAGCGTGATGAGCAGAGAGAATAAGTGCCATTTTTTACATAAAAGATCTAATTATAAAGCAAAGCGTTGAACTAACTAAAAGAACATGGAAATGATTTAATATTTCTATATACATCTACATATAAACACATTAATAAATTAAGTTTATAAGAACTCATTTTAAAATGTTGGTAGCTATTTGGGACTAACTTTTCTGCATTACTTTTTATAAATATTTCTTAATGCAAAAAGTGTACAATGAAAATTATACATGTATGTGTAAATATTATCATTAAAAATAAGTTATATATATTATATATATATATACATATATATATATATATATATATATATATATATTTAATATACAAACCTTAAACCTATATTTATTAATATACCGTATAAATACATGGTATTTATTAAATGCTTCACGAAAAATAACAATTAAAAGTGTTTTTACAGGGTTATTTATAGCTAACACTAAAATATAAAATGTCGAGAGATTTATACGTGACATTTTTATTTAGTTAGCTTATAAACGCTCTTTAAAGTTTTAAACAAATATAAGAAACTTTATCAATTTTAGTATACATGTATTTAAATTTATTAGAAATTAAGTGAAAATAAAAATAATAATATATTATTTTTAAGTTGTAAAAACAACATTTACATAGATTTTTTTTAACCCGTAGAAAGTCTCATAAACAAATAAAACCGACCTCATTAAAAGCTACTCCAGTTCCCAACAAATGACTAAAAACAAACAAAAGATGATTAAGGTGGCGCACATTAACCAACTCACAAATTTTCCTTTTCCCATTTCATTTTCAACACGCTAAAGCAATATTAAATAATCTTCTTCTTGGTGGTCTTCACTATTTGTTTTATCTTCAACCTTCTTAGTCTTTTATCATCTTTATTCTATTCTAAACTCTAATACTCTTCTCAATCAACAATGCCCTAGAAGTTTCTTTCCAAATTTTATTACTTAGTCTCTAATCATATCCACTAATCACTTCCAAACAAGTTAGAACTCAACATGATTAACCTTTTCATCTTGACCAAAGAATATACAATATCATTACTCTATTTTCTGAATAATTAAAATATGTTATACCAATAAACATAAATATGTAAAGGAATACTTTACTTTTTTTTACATGTTATTAATTCAAAATATTTATTAATTTTATCAAAAGTAAATTATGCTAATACTAATTTTAAAATATTTATTCGGTTTTTGGTATACTATCACGATAGATATTTTTGGTTTTACGACAAATTCATTTAGAAAATGTCAAAAATAGTAAAAATTTAATATTCTTAATTTTTTTTCAATTTGTGTGAAAAGTTGTTTATATATTGTTATTATCAGTCTAATAAAAATACTACAATCTAATAAAATCTTTTAAATCTCTTCATTATTAAACTCAAACTTATATATATATATATATATATCATAACCAATTTCAATAATTTTATATTATAATTATTATTTATTATTATATTATTAACTAAATTATTATTATATCAACAAAAATCAATAATTCATAATATTCTATAAATATAATTAATATTAAAATATTAATTTATATTCACTATATTTACAGTTAACTCGTTATTTATTTATAAATTCACACTCAAAATTTTAATAAAATTTTATATATATATATATATATATAAAAAAAAACCAATCCCTGTTAACTAGACAATTAGAAACATGGAAACTACAAAGCAATTTCCTGAAAGATTCAACCCAATGTTCACTCTAGCAATAGCTGGTCCAGAATCCATTAATGCGATGAACAAAAGAAAGGACATGAAGGTCAATGGAAGAAGATGAATGCTAATAACTGTTGCCTTTCAAACCATTTTCTCATGCGTGTGTCTCCATTTCGTACGCCAAGTGGACAATACAATTCTTTAATTAATTCCAGAAACTGAAACTTGTGAATTAAGAATAGGTTTTAAATAATTTTCTTTGAATAATAAAAAACAAGTGTTTTAACTTTAGTTTTTTTTTGGTCCCTTTGTATTTGTGTTATTTTTTTGTAGTTAAACTTACCAATCATAATGTCATGATCAGTTGAATTACTAAATAAATTATGACCACGATGCGAATTTGGTCACATTAGAAACCTATCAAAATGTTTAAAGTAAAATAAAAATGGTATATTTACAAATAATACAATCGAAATATAGCATACCACACACTAAGTTATATAAAACTACCTTTAATTACTGATATAATTAAAATGTATGAGAATTCTTCCTTTTATTGTCCCTATTTATTTTTTAATTTTATTATTAAATAAAATTTATTTTAAATTAAAATTATTTTTTATTAAATTTATGTTTTAAGTGATTGTTTCTTTAATTTTTTTTTTCAATTTTACTATTTTTTAAACCTAATTTTTTTAATTAAATATTATCTATAAAATAATAAAAATTATTTGCAGTAAATTATAAAATTATTTATATTTAATTTTATAATTATAATAAAATAATTTTTATTTTTATTATCATAAAGAAAAGAAAAGTAAATACGCGTATACGTAATACATATATTTTCGCTAATAAGTAAGAAGATACCTTAAATGTTTTTTTATATTTTGTATTGTTTGAGTTACTTCTTCTAACCATAGTCTTAAAAGTTTTTTCAACTTGTTCATAAAATAGTTTTAAAGCTCTTTAAATATTCACATTAAGGTCTAATTTACACAAATTTTCCAAAATATTTTTAAAATTTCTATTCAAAAACCCCTATTTCTAAATCTATTGATATATTTCCCTTGGTGTCACAATTAACTTTTTCTAAGTTAGGCTAATAATAATATTAATTTTTATTTATTTTTTATGATGGTTAAATCCAAAAACATAAATACAGGTGAAATAATAAATTGAATTTTTCATGTCAATTTTTTTCATCTATATCATATAATAGCAAAAACATAAAGAATTGTATATGCAATTAAATTTATATATTAATTATAATATTGATCAACATAGAAAGTCGATTATAGTCATAATCTTAGTATCAATTATAGTTTTGTATAACTTTTTAAAAATATTTTGTTCACAGGAAACACAACTTCTCCAACTTAAAATTAAACATTGCCTATAATGTGAGTTGAAAGTGTTATAAAAACAATAAATGTGCCTATTTGTTTAACCAACACAGAATTCAAGATGACCTAAATGACATTTAATGATAAAAAGTATTGAGCACCTAAATAGAATATATATGATGAAAAAGTATCAAAAGGTTTGAATAAACATAATAGTTGATTTTGAGGTTTGATTTGAGCAAGTAAAATATTATTTTGGATAACTTTTGGTAATTTATATAGTTCAAATATTCAAATAGGATTTGGTCCTACAATTTTTTCAACACCTTTCCAAACAATTTTAAGTATCAATAAAAAGGACTTTAGAAGTTTAATCTGTGTATGATTGTGTTTCATCAAACTTTACTATATATTGATGTTTATCTAAATGGCATGTCATAACAGATAGATTAAACATTACTGTCATGGTTATTATCTTCAAAACTATTCCATTTATGAAATTGGTATTTATAAAAGGGTATGATTTGTTTAAGAATCCAACATCTGCAAACCTACAATAATACACATTCTTACATATATTTGTGTGTATTATGTACTATATTAACGAGTATATTAATGATCAAATTTTCAAACTCAAAAGCCATGCAGTGTCTATTATGTTTAACATAAAGTATTCAATACATTTAAATTACAATAAATAAAGAAAATGATTGCTAGTGTGTCTACATATATATAAATTAAATGAGTTATGGTCATTAAATTTTATTAGTCAAATTATTATTAAAGTGATCTAAGTTAAATCAATTATTAATGACATATATATGAATGAAAGATTAATTTATAGAAACTATATACAATATTTTAATTTGACGAGGGACGAAATTAAAAATATTAAAACTTAAGAAAAAATAAATGATAGAGGTTACATGATAAGGTTATGGTCTCATATATAAGCACATCATATTATATTTTTTCTTTTGAGAAAATCAAAAGTGAATTTATGACGTTTTACCGTTCCAAAATCAAATAATTGTTCCGAATAATCAATCCACTTATGCTTTTGAATATTGTTTTATGAAATGCTAGGGATTGTTCATAGTATTGAAAGAGTTTGATTGTTTATTGATAATTAATTTGGTTTTGGTGGATAATATAACAATTGGTATCATAACATGTTATATTTATAATTAAGTTTTTTTGCCCTTAATTGCATGGATCCTAATTTACACATTTTCCCCCCAATTTTATGAGGAGCCCTAGTTGTGAAGTCTAGGGTTTTTCCTTTTTATTTTGTTTTGTTAAATCTCAATCTCATTTCATCTCTCTCTCGGGTTTGAGTTTTAAACTCTGCAAAACTATATTCTTTGAATCTCTTGATTTTCTAGTTTTACCATTTAAATCATCTCGTCAATGTAGCCATTGAGAAACGTCATCATGACATCCATTTGATGAAGCTTCAAATCATAATGTGTAGTAAAATCCATGATTTTTCTAAAAGAATATTTCAATGAAGTGAGAGAGAAAATCTTTTTAAACTCAATCCATTCCTTTGGAGTATAGTCCTTCCTCACAAGACAAACCTTATACCTTTTCACATTATTTTTAGAAACATTTTTAGTCTTAAATATCCACTTACAACCAATGAGTTTCATTACCTTATGGTAATGAGATAAATTCTCAAACCTTCTGGTATTGGAGATTATTCATAGTATTTAAAGGGTTTGATTGCAAACCCCATCTTACAACTGATTTTGTGGGTTGAGTTAAACTTAAAGTTCACTTCTTAACATGATATTTGAGTCATGAGTTAATGAGATTTTTGTTTGTTAGATATATATGTTCTACTCGCTATCGAGTAATTATTGGACCATCCATTAATTAGTTTAAAATATATAAGTGAATATAAATTTTACCTTCTAAATCAATTTTGTGGAGTTAAATTAGACTTAAAATTCACTTGAGTTAGATTTAAAATTTATTTTTTAATATTTAATGTTTGAAACATCAAATATGAAAATTTTGATTTAAAAAACAACTAATAACATAACAAAGAAAGAAAATGAGAAAAAACAATGAAAAAAAAAACTTCTGACAAAAGGAAAGAATAACAAACAAAGTAAATAATGAAAAGAGTATTACATGTGGTATTATGGGCAAGGAAAATGATACTTGAACAACTATTTTTGACAACATTTAGACACGAGAACACGTGTCTAAATGTTGTCAAAAATGGTTGTTCAAGTGTCATTTTCCTATGGGCAACATGCAAAGGGTTAATGATCGATGATTTTGTTTAATGAAAATTTAATATTAGGATAGAAGATAATGAAAGAACAATCTATTTGATAATATGATATATTAATTTTGTTTTATAATATTTACAACATTCATTAAAGATAAATTTTTTTATGTCAAAAATCAAATACTACCATTAAAAAATTATTTATTTAAAGGTTTGACTAGTGTTCCTTTTTAAATGCACATTTAAAAACAAAAAAAATAATAAAAACCTATATATAAACTATATATAAATTAATCTTAATATAACAATTATATATAAGAATCACTTCTTTTATATAACATTTTCTCATTTTAAAATAAACATATAATATAATTACTAACTCATTAAAAATATTAATTTTTTAAAGTGTTATAGGAGGGCGTTTGTCTAAAACATTTTCCTTATATATATATATACACAAACCGTTATAATTTCTTTGTTTCTCTGTTTCTCACATTTACAATCCATATATATCTACAGTCTCGTTTTCAGCTTCATCACTCATCGATCGACACGCTATGGAGTTATTCACCAAAACCAACGTGGTGAGGCTGCGGAGCCACCTTGACAAGTATCTCGTGGCCGACGCAGACGGCAGCAAGGTCCGCCAGAGCCGCAAGGCCTCCGGCCGGGGAGCGCGGTGGACGGTAGAGGAGATCACGGACGGAGAAAGCAAAAAGGTACGCCTCAGGAGCTACCACGGAAGATACTTAACGGCGACGGAGGCGCCGTTTCTGTTTGGGATGACAGGAAAGAAGGTGCTCCAGAGGGATTTCGAGCCCGGCGCGGACTTCAAGCACGACTGGGAAGTGACACGCGACGGGTTCCAGGTGAAGTTGATGAGCTGGAGTGGAAAGTTCCTGCGCGCGAACGGAGGGACGCCGCCATGGCGGAGCAGCGTGACGGTGGACGAGCCGCACAGTTCGGCGACGAAGGATTGGGTTCTGTGGGACGTGGAGACTGTGGAGGCGGTGGAGGAGTTGGTGGATGATTTGTGCGACAGCACGGTTTCGTCTGTCGCTTCCGATGATTTCTCCGTCGATTCGGAACCAGCGTCGCCGATGTCCGTTTTTTCCCTCAAGTCGCCGCCGGCGAGGCGGAACTCGAACCTGATGCTGCAGGTGCGTTTTTCTCGTTCATCGACTATTCCTTTAGCGATTTTTGCGTGAATATTTTGTCCGTTGAATTTTTCGTTGAGAGGAAGTGAGGTTTTTCAAATGATTCTAAGTAACAATATTGGCTAAATCAATAATGAGAAACGCGTTAATTTAGTTAACATAGAAAACTAGTTCTCGGGCCTCTGTTTTTTGTTGTTGTTTTTTTTAAATAAATAAATAAAAATTACAATAATAGTTCATTGTATTTATAGGGATAAATAAACATAAAATGTGTAAACTAAAATATCTGAACTTTTTAGTCTACGCTCAACCATTAAAAAGTAACCAACAATATATAGAGAGTGATATTTGGGTTGTTCATATTCTTAAATTATAGGAGATTTAGTTCTTCTTTCAATTGTAAAAGTAATAAAAGAAATATAAGTAGTGAATACTTTTTTTAAAAGATAAAATTTATTTCATTAACCATTACACTTCAACACCTTATTAAAAGGGGAAAAAATACTTCAGAATTTTCAGGGAAATTTCTTTGTTGTAGATTGTAAAAGACTATAGTTCAACTGAATGACTTTCTTATTTCTTTGAAACACGAGTTCACACCGTGTTTGGTCTTTCCCTTGACCAGGTTTAGTTGAAGCGCTTCAAAACAAAAATAACTAAGAAGTATGTTGTAACTGTCAACATTTTGGACTAACGTGATTCATTGCCACTCTTCTTCCTAAAATATTCCTAAAAATGCTTTCTTTTTTAGTTTTAATTGTAAGAATTAATAATTTTAAAATTACATTATTATTTAGTGATTCTGAATATACAAATAAATTCAGAATAATATGTAATATTAAAATTGTATTATAATATATTTAACTTATTTTTTTCCAGTAAGTTCACTTAGTGAATAGTGTGGTATTATGTGTTTTATACAAACTCTATAATCATTTGATAAAACATAATTATGCACGCATGAACTCCACATAAATTTTAGATTAACTGGTTTTTTATTAGTTTAATTTTTTTTTTCATAATTTTATTTGTTTATTTATTATATATATATATATATATTACTTTATTTTTTGTTTTAATTTTTTATCATTACCATTAATTATTTTATTTCCAGTAAATAATATTTTTATTATTTAAATTGTATTCATTATTAAACTAATTATTATTTGGCATAAAATGAATGTTCGATAGATCAGTATATTGAAGATATAAATTACTCTAATTTGTATCTAATAAATCATTATAAGAATACAAATTAAATAAACATGTAAATGCAAAATAAATATAATAATTTTTATGTATGGCTAATATAAAAGATTCACAAAATTAATTAATTAGAAATCATTCCAATAAACAAATTTTGTATTACAATTTATACTATGATTGGGTAATGTTTTTACTAACAACGTGTTTGAAGTATATTGAATCAATAAAGCATCACAAGCATATTTTAAACCAAACATTTCAGATTGATCTCTAATAAGTTTGAAAGATGGACTAAGCTAAATTTTATAAGGTTGATATATACCAGTCCTGAAGAAGTTGAAATATTTAAGACTTGACTTATTTAATATAACCTGTTTTTATGTCTTAACTTTTTTGAAAATCTAGTTTAATTCTAAAGTTTTCCAAAGTCTGCTTGGTAATTAATATCTCTTAAACGAGTTAAAACTGTCTCTTAAGAATTTAATGAACATTATCTTGATATAGATTAGTCGTCTTTAATTACACAAAGTAATAATATATCGTGTCAAAAGATTACAATCCAAAATTATTATTATCATCATCACTGGTCATTATTGTTATTTAGGTAAATAGATTGTCTTATTTGAATAGTCTGAAGTCCAGTCCTTTTAACTAAATAAATTTTTGAAAAAGTCTTAACTCATTTAATAAATAGTTTGACACCTCATCTCTGCTAGCGTGAGTGAAGCTATATCTCTTCCTCTCGAGTTTTCTTTCCCATTCCGTGATACTAATGGACACATAGTTAGGTGTTTGGCTAATTTAGGTCTATGCATGAAAAGGGTTTGTTAACATAAGTAAAACACTGGACTGGGTGTTTTAGGTCTATATAAGAAGGGTTTTGTTAACGTACTCCTAGAAAAACTCGATTATTTGGTTAATTTCCGGTTTCCATCAAAATACGTGTGGCCACAATTAGCTTTCAGGATGGATGTTAATTTGTTTTTCGAGTATGTCCAATGAAAATTTTGGACGTTCACAAGCAGGGTCTTATAGTCTCATCACTGTATTACCATATCAGAGTCCTCCACTACCAATTGATTGCCACTTGGTTGAATTTTAGGTGCTATATGTTGCTTCTTCCCTTCACCAACTCTTCTCCACCAACGAAAATGTAGTCACACAACTCACACATTAACAAATGCGTTCACATTCCAAAGTCCAAATAGTAAACGCACTACTAACAATTGGTGAAGGAACGAGTCCACATGCGTAGAAAGATCTTTTTGTTATTTCAATTTGACACTAGTCCTTTTTTACAAAATAATAGGATTTTTCTCTTCATTTACTTTAACCTTTTCTTTTTGTCTTTGTCTTTTCTTCCATCTAAATTGTAGTGTAAATTTGACGTTTTTCTATATTTGTTAAAATGAATCTTACCATATGGCAAAGTTGTTTTCTCAACATGTTTCCCTAAGTGTGGGAGAGAATTACAATTACCTCGGTCAATTGTTTTCTTCCTGTCCCTCCCTCTTTTTGGTTCGTAAAAGATCAAAAGTGTATACTCCTGATCTTATGATTTAACAAAAATTAAATCTCAACTTGAAGATGATAATATAACATTTAACTGAAGTTTTCTATACCCTACTTATTCTTATTATGACCCATGCGTCTACGTCAGGATACATGGATATAGCATTTATGAGAGAGACAGAGAAAGACAGAGAGAGCGTTTTTCATCTAATTTAATCTTGAGGATTCGCATATTCATTCGCAGGGGAATGGGATTGGAAGTACACATTCATATTTTTTGTCTTGACAAGGACTAGAAGCCGAATATAATTATTGAATGGGGTGGGTTTTCAGTAGTAATTGGGACTAGAAAGTGAAGAATATACAAAGTTAACAACAATTTACTTATCTCTACGACCAATCATTTCAATATAACATTGTCTATTTGTGTAAGACACCTTGTGTAGACGTTAGTTTCACACTTTTGAGTGGCTTTTGTCTCCATACCAATCTCCATAGCTTCCACCCCACCACGTATTGTTTCTTTTCCTTCTTGTAGTGGTCTCTCTTAAGTTCCTTTATGCTTTTGTTATTTGATATTTTATTATATTTTTTGGATTGAGGTTTTGGTAGTGTGGCTTCCAGTGGAAGATCATTTTGATTCTCTATTTTCAATTTTTTTGTATGAAAGACGCCAAACCGCACACTATAAAGTTCCATACATATCCAACAATGAGTCACCGATAGTGACTGAGTTTAATTAGGCCGAGTCAGCACTTCATCCTATCTGGCATAGCATATCCAATCCAATCCTCACTGTCTCACTGAATCATTCTGTTTAAGTTGGCCGAGTCATAAATTCAACTACACTGCAATGGTAAAAAATTACTTGGGTTCGGCTGCGCATTTTCTTTGTACCTTCGGCCGTTTCTTCATGTAACCCATCAAATTTCTTTCTATACTCCATCATTCTGGATTTTATTTTTCAGACTGCAATAAATTAATTTCGGAAACACTTTTTCGAAAGAGACTCACTCACTTTCCTGGAAAACACTCACCCACTCCTATTCTGGAATTTTTTTTCCTAAAGCTATGATGGGTGCAAAGAGAAATTGATTAAAACATGTGCTTCATTGGTGATTACAAAAATAATAATTCTAAATCCACTTAAAACATTTTTTTTAACGCTAAAAACCGCTATCATAGCAATTGTAACATCAACTCAATTACACAAATAAATTTTTATAGTTACCAACTATTTTCTATATTTTTCATGGAAATAACCATTGGCATGTTAACACGGTGGTGTGTTAGAAAGCAAGAGTGAGGGTATGTTGGAAATTAGTTGGAATATTTCCCACTTTGAAAAAGTTTGTGGTATACTTAATTTGTGTCTGTCATAAGATAAGATGATAATTTGAGTAGGTATTACTTGAATTCAATGTTTTAAAGTCGGCTGAAGTTGGTCTCAATAATTGCGAGGTCTGATTTCCAGGCTAAGAAACTGAACTGGATTAAGCATTTTGCCATGCTGAGATGACGTAATAATTTCTACGAAAAGTCACACGCGAATGACCAATAATTTGTGGTGAGATGCAGAACACGGAACGAAAACTGAAACTGAAACAGATGAATCGGATTAGGCGCTTCCGCCACGTAATGCATAGGGCCAAACGCGTTGTCCCCGAAAAGTCGCCACTGCTGACTCCCTCTTTCCCTTTTTTCATCCTTGACAGTTGAAAGTTCAAACAACCAGTCACGCACACTAACTCTTACCCACAACCATTACAATAATAAAAATAATGATAGTAAAAGTTTCATTACCGAATAAATACCCATCTCCTTTCATTTCTCCCACTCACTGAATACTCATCTTCTCATCGTATAATTACATTACATACTACTCATGCAGGCAATAACTTCCAACAAGTTCAGAAATGGCATGGACTTCTTCCACCGCGCCAAGGCGGTGCGCCTCCGCAGCCACCACGACAAGTACTTGCTGGCGGAGGACGACGAGGAGTCCGTCACGCAAGGCCGCAACGGCTCCTCCAAGAGCGCGCGCTGGCTCGTCGAATACGTTCCCGAATACGACAACATAATTCGCCTGAAAAGCTGTTACGGAAAATACCTCACAGCCTCCAACATCAACTTCCTCCTGGGCATGACGGGCCACAAGGTCCTCCAGACCCTCCCTCAGAGGCTCGACTCCTCCGTCGAGTGGGAGCCCATCAAGGACGGAGGCCGCGTCAGGCTCAAGACTCGCTACGGCAACTTCCTCCGCGCCAATGGGGGCGTGCCGCCCTGGAGAAACTCCGTCACGCACGATATTCCTCACAGGACCGCCACCCAGGACTGGATCCTCTGGGACGTGGAGGTCGTCGAGATTTATGTCAACTCTCCGGCGAATAGCAGTAAACCCTCTGCTCCCCCGTTGCCAGGTTCCGACCCTGTTCCAGTCCTGGCCAGCGCGCCGGTTCCCCCACCACCATCATTGTCTGCCAGCTTTACAAGGCAACAGGTATTATGAGATTCTTGGTAAAGTTATGTTTTTGTCTTTATGAACAAAATTCACATGCACGTGCCTTTGTTCCATAGAAGTTTTACCATAGCAACATGGACAAGGACAAAGTTTTACTCGCAATTGCAGTTTCCTCACACAATCCTTGACATGGAAGGAAATTCCTGATCAATTCCATGTCCTTCCATGTCAAGGTTTGAAGTTGTGATTGTAGTTACTGGAAATATTTTTCATATAAACATTACAGTTTCGATTCATAGATGCTTTATAATTATTTTTTAGCACTTTTGTCCTTTTAGGCTTAAAAATACTGAAGTTGTCACTTTACATAGCCTCTTCCTGTCGTTGTTGTGGGTGATGATTGTGGTTGGTTTTGTTTGCAGTCGAATGAATTGAATGGTTTGTCACAGAAGATGGAAGGGCGGATTATTTACTACAATATTGCTGAAGATAACGGGGAGGTGTTGGATGAAGGTTCGCAGGGCTATTCTTTGATTTTCAAAGGGAATGGAGTTGAAGAATTGACTCGAAAGTTTGAGGAAGAGACAGGTCTAGAGGGAATCATTGTATGTAATCGGAGTCCTTTGAATGGAAGGCTTTATCCTCTTCGCTTGCAGCTTCCACCAAACACCGTGACCATGCGAGTTGTTTTGGTTCTTCCCATGTCAAATGGTCAGTTTTCTTCTTGTTTCTGATTCCTTCTTATTGTATCTCTTTCTTCTAGATGTTCACTTCGTATAACGTTTGGATTAAAGTTTACTTACTCCAAATATTAGTTTGGAGACTCTGTAAACTTGTTTTACACATTCTTCAAAATCGTTGGTTGAATTGTATTTAGATATGATCACGATGTTTCGTCATAGAAGCATCAATCATATAATTCAAACATCAATCATAGAAAAATGTTTTGTAGTGCGGAGAACCAAGTAATTAGAAGGAAGCTTTAGTTAGCGTGGTGGACCAAGTAGTTAAGCGAAGCTTCCTCAAATGTCGTAAATTTTATGCAACTAATAATTAATACCTTTCTTATGCAACTTGCTGATGACTAAAACTCTGAGAAGAATTTGGCGATACTGGTTTGACTGCATTGCACATTTCTACATCATATATTTTTGTTGAGTGTTAAAAAAGTGTTGTTCCAATTTCTATATCTTCCTCTATTTTAACCGACAGAAGTGCTACCACGGTACCTTAACATCTGATGCCTTTTCTTTTTCAGTGGCAAGAGACTTAGAGGCAGAAGGTTTACTGTGAGAAGCCTATGAATTTTGCAACGAAAGTCTATGTATGAGTACCCATTGAAGCCACCGTGAGTTTTCCTAGAAAGTATTGAGTATTTAGGAATATGTTGTAGTCCATTGCCTTCATTAAGCATAGCTCATCGTGGTCCTTGGAAGAAGCATGTGGATTAGGGGAATATTTTTGTTTGACGGTTTATGTAATTTTATGGCGATACTTCGACATGTAAATAGTTCACAATTTTTTGTCACCGATAGAAGATTATTTTTATTCTTCAGAAATATAGCAGCATTTGTTTAATCGAAGTTCATTTCTGTTTCTCTTGATGGAATTTTGTTGATTTAGCATGCATATTTGAATATCTATAAGAATATTCCTATCGATGTATAATATAACCTTTTTTGGAATATCTATTAGAATATATTTTGCCATCTAATAAAGATTTTATTAAAAAATTTGAAATAATATTTACCAGGTTGGCTTTGAACATGTGTGTCTGTCTTGGTTTGAATGCGGTTTTGTATTTTGTTTCACTTCTGGTTGTCCAAATGCATTACTCACTCATCATATCTATTCAACTTCAATTCAAAAGCTTAATAAATGGAAATTAGAAGCATATATTTTTAGATAAAAAAAATTCACTATTTCTTATGTAGAACTTTTCCTGAAGGCGAGTGAAAGAACATAAGTCCATGAATGGTGTAAAGTTCAAAGGCAGAGGAAAACAACAGATTTTATAAATTAGTGTTTGTTAAATGGTAGATAACAAACTAGAAGTGAGAAGCACCTTGTTAAGTTCTCCCCATTGTTTGTATCGTAATACAGTACCCCTTCTCCTTTCCTTTTCTGACAATCTCGCACCTATCATCGTTAATTAGTTTCAAGAAAATAAAACACATCGAAAAACAATACATCCACTTTACCATATCTCTAATAATATACCAATATGTCTAATGAAATCAAATTAAAAATACGAAATACACATAATTAAAATATTATTATTTTAAGTTATCAAATTATTGAATTTATTATATTTAATGGATGTTAAAATATTAACGTTTCTAATTTTAAGTTGCTCCAAAGGTCACAATGTAATTTTCAAAAGATATTAACAAATTGCAAGTCTATATAATATATATATATATATATATATATATATATATATATTCTAATATATTAGAAAATGATATTTTGGTAATGGACCAATTTAAATTTCAATTCACAAATTAATTATATATTTTTATTTATAATAGAAACTATTTTACATATTAATAATATTTAGTATATAAATTAGTATCTAAATTAGGTATTCTAATGACTAATTATTTTTTCTTTAAAATTGGTTGTTATTTAATAATTTTCTTACAGTTTTAGGAGGAAAACAATATTAAAGCATCATTTCAAATTACACTATCATTTCAAATTACACAATGTATGAAATATTGAATTTATTGACAAAAATTTATTAAAGGATGAAAATTTATCAAAGAAAATTATCGATGAGTTTTGATAGTTTATTTATTGACATAAATTTCGCAGTTTAATGAATTGTGTTACTGTGGTTCAATCATCTATTAGTAAATTTTGTCAATAAGATTGTTGTAATTGTTTATCGAAAGATATGTTTCCTCCATTCTTATGTCACAAGCAATCTCAGCCTTCCCCATTTTCCTTTTTCTCAAAATCTTTTGCTTCCCCAAAATTTTGTCTCAAATTCTTCCTCCTCAATGTTCCAATTTCCCATACCTTCCTTCTTTACTCAATATTGCTTTCAAAAACTCAACTTTGAGTGAGGATTTGGGTGTCTTTAGGTGTTAGTATTGGCATCTAGGTTAGGTCTCCCAAGCATTTCGACGATGCTCCCAATTGAATAATCAGTTCGTAATGCCTCACTACCCTAGTAGGTCGCTAGCATTTTGTCGCAGGAAGCCTCATCAATGTCAATTTGGTATGATATTGTCCGTTTTAAGGAGCCTCGTCGATGACGATTTTGTTTGATATTGGTTAGATGTTCTTATTTTGTTCTTGATTTAAAGTTCAGGGACTGTGATTTTGGTTTTTCTCTCTTAGAATTCCAAGTGTGAGTCTAATCCTACATTGGGTACAAATGAGAAAGTACAACATCATATAAAGATGAAGTGTCTCCTAATGAACCTCTTCCTCTATAAACCTAACAAGTGGTTTCAAAGTCTGGTTCATCTTGGTAATCAGCTCAGATGAATACAATGGTCTCTGTATCAAAAGCCTCCCTAGCAAAGACTTGCAGGTAAGCGTGTCCTGTTAAGATGAACGACAATACGAGGAGTACTTGTGATTGGAAATGCTTTCACTAGAGGGAGAGTATACCAATTTGGAAGGGACTCACCTTTGAAAGGGGAGATTGTTATAATTTCAAGTATGAGTCTAAGTCCCACATTGGGTAGAAATGAGAAAGTGGAGCAATATATAAAGGTGAAGACCTATTAATCCATTACCTTAAGGTTTTGGGTAGAGAATTATGTCAATCCCTTATGTGTTTGAGCTCAAATCTCATTGGTGTTGTGTCTTCCAAATGAATCTCCTTTTTTATAAACCTAACATTCTCTTGGAGTTTAGCATTGTGATATATGAGCTACTAGATGAGATAGGTATATGTGGTTCATTTACCATGCTTGATAGGATAAGTGGTTTAATTTGTGAATTCTTAATTTGTTAAGATACTTGTACTACTATATATATATATATTGATATGTGAAATGCAAGGATTTATTGGTCATGTAACTTACTTGGATTGCAATATTCTAGGTGCAAGATCAAATGTACCAAGCATGGTTTCACGTTGATGTTGATACAATAGAAAGATTTAAAAGAAAGTAATCATTAGGCCATAATGGTTTCTATACTACCAATGAAATATTGGTTATATGATTGGTATTATATTTGAAATAAGTAGATTGAGTATTTTCTTCTTTTTGTTGTTTGATCCTTAATGACTATTGATGATTAGTTTAAAAATTTTCTTAGTTTCATCATTAGTTTCCTTTCAACATGATTCAATGTTATGTTTAGGAATTATATTATATATTGTAGTCTAAATTTTGTGTTACACTCTGTCTATGTTAAAAGCATGAGAACTGAATTGCACCTTGTGTTCATTTCTGTTTTTACTATTGATCATTAGTAAAAGTCTAAAAACATTTTTCTTTCTATTTGGGTTCCAATTATAGGTTGTGAATTTGTGCTTTTGTTGATTTGAAAAAAGAAATTGTATTGAACTTTATAGTTCAATACATGTGTCTTTTTTGCATGGTCATGATTCTAAGAATTCATGATTTGATAAGATTGGGGAAAATAAGATTGATAAAGTATCCTTTGCACATGTGACGGGTGTCTGAAATTGAGATTGGTAGATTACTTTTATTGAATTAGAAGTTCTAATATGTTATGAGTATATTAGGTTGACACATTAGTCTCTTTGCATGGTCTTCCTGAAAAGATTGAATATTTTAACATCTTAAACTCAATAAGAATGACATTTCAAGTTCATATTGTGTACTTAATCAAATCTTTTTCTCTATTTTCCAAATAAATGCAGTAATTTGACTCTTGTTGAACTCCAATAAACATAATATCACTTTCTTTCATAGAGTCTGAAAAGAATAACTTATAGTTTAAATATTTTGAGTTTTAGAAAATTACAACTACCTAATTAGTAACTAATTTATACATTAATTTTTTCAATAGTCAAAATTTTCGTAGTTAATGTTAGTGATTACTTTATAAACTATTTTAGATACCAATAAATTTAAGTTTATAATTTTGCCTTAAAATTGGTTATTATTTAAGGATTTCATGGCTGTGAAAAAAGTTTAATTTCTACTAAAATAATTGCTCATAAAAATATTATTATAGGTGATATTAATTGAGCTGCTATAAAATTGTGTTTTGACTTGTAAATATAGTTCCTAACTCTTAATAAATACTTGCTCTTATAACTAGGAGTCATAGATAGGTCACATTTGATTAGCTTAAACTTTTATCTCTTACATAATATTTATAATATCTTTACTTCTTTTAAAATAAAAAAAAAGTGAATAAAAAGTATATCGTCACTTTATTATTTTTTGTCTTTATTTTTATGCATTAAAATTATAAAAAATAAGAAAACCTAGGACATAAGACCGTGTTAGTAATAGAAAACACCACAAGAAAAAAAAAATTAAAGAAAAAAACTCAAAAATCAACATATTAAATTGGTATTGACAGAGTACACAATGTGATAAATTCCAAAAAAAGAAAAAAGTATATGTTGAAGGGATTTGAATGTAATATAGTAATTTCTATAACTGAAAAAAAAGAAAATGAGGAAAAAAAATGTATTGTAGTCATATAAATTCCATTCATGAATGAAAAAAAAAGAAAAAATCAATATAATGTACATGTGTCGAGGTAGTAATCATGAATGATTTCGAGTTTTTCTAATAATATGCTTTCTTAGTATTTTTAGTAGATTAAACAAAATATTAAATATTGTTATCTATATTTTCTTTTCTAAATTTCTTGGTTTTAAAAAAATTGAAAATATTTGCTTTCCAGGGTTATAGATATAGGGTATTCAACCTCTCGGCCTCCATGCCTCAAGACGATGATGATACTGACCAACCTTTCTCAATTCTAAGTTCCACACTTTTTCTTATCAAAAATAGTTTTCATCGTTCCCCACTTGCTGGGTTAATAATGGCTGCCTCATCTTTGTCACTGACATTCCATATCAGAAAAACCCACAGCGGGATTTCATCTTTCAATTTTCATCCTCTCATCCAAAAGGGTAGACAATCTCTTAAATCAACCTTCTCATTCTCAAACCTTCAAGGTTCTCCCCATTTCAGACCTCCAATTGCAATTACCCCTTTCCCACTGACCCAAATACGAGCTTCTTCTGATAAATGCTTTGACCCTGCTGATGAAGCCGAAAGGTTGCTGCTTTCTGGGGAAAAGCCAGTTAAATTCGCCTTCTGGATCATATTTTAGGCCTCTTTGTCCCTGGCTTGGTTTGCTGTTTCAAAGGATGCAAATGCTGCTGTTGACTCCATCAAAGCCTCTGGCTTTGGCTTGAAAATTGCCAATTCTTTGAGGAAATTGGGTTGGCCTGATGGGGTTGTCATCTTCACACTTGCCACTCTTCCTGTGCTGGAGCTTCGTGGTGCTATTCCTGTGGGTTATTGGATGCAACTCAACCCCACAACTTTAACAATCTTGTCCATTCTTGGGTTAGTCTTTAAAATTCTTTCATTCTATCGAGCACACTCTTTTATAGCTAATTTTTGTAAG